CTGCATGATTTTCAAAATATTCGTGTTACAGATGTTTTTCTCACTGCATGACTATCTGGTCTAGCGTTTTGTCATTGGTTTGTCTACACTGCAAGATGGATCGGCGACAGGGAGTTTCACACTGCATGACTATACAAAAGGACAATCACAGACAACTTTGTCCAAACTATGTCTTACAGCCAAAAACACGTGGTATATCTTTTGTTATTAACTACATAATGAGAAATAAGCCTTTATTGGGGTAGAAAATGTATATATTTGCTCACCTGGCATGGTTTCCGCTACATTCATTCTTCCATGGCAGGGCACCACGACAAAATTCATCCCGCCATGGCTACATTACAGCTTCTCATTCAAAACATTTATTTTTTTAATAGCCGGTAATAACGTATTAAACGCCAAAACGTATTAAAAGGTTGAGCGAATTATAACCGCGCAAACTTCTCTGTAATCGTAGTAGTGCTGTGTATTATTTGTTTACCCCGTTAAGAATAAGTACTGACTGGCTGACTGACAGATGCGTGAGGCCAGCAAACACGATCTATAGCCGTTTCACTTTACTTCAGGACGCATTAATATCGTTCTGTAGGTCTATTAGAGACATTCATAAATGTACAAGCAAAGAGATCTGCATGCTGTAGGCTATTACATAAATGTGATCTCGACTTCTAATACTGGGGTCACGACAATTCTCATTGAAATAACACCACAGGTAGTTGGTAGATCTGTCTAAAAAAGGCCTGCCGCTACAGCTGGAAAAAATCCTAGAGGAAACTCTGCCTGGGTTTTGAAGGGAACTAGCAATTACTCTTCAACTTTTTTCCTTTTTTGGCCCAGTTGAGCCAAAGGAAAATGAATGAATGAACTTATGCAAATGCTTAATGCCAGTTTGCTGTAAACTGGAGTAATGAGGAGATAGCAAGATGACATACTTTGCAACTTGTTTTCATTCACTTGTACTTTTGTCTTTGTTTTATTGTCTTTGTGCATGAGGCTTAGCTGAAGTCCTACATGATGACATTTTATATACCTGACAAGATGCAGAAATGCCATCAAAAAAGGTGACCTGCTGTTTGTCTAATCAGGGACAGTGACAACATAAATATACAAATAATAATGTTAACCCTGTGGTTGGGAATGTGTAATGTCTGTTAATGAACATCTAGGATTATTTGTTAGCCCCTGGTATAGCATGAGCAGTGTGGAACGTGCTTACTGATAACCAAGGATTTTGTTATTCAGAGTTAGAATGACCAAGGATTATCCATTTGAAGTGTGAAAAGCCCTAAAAATACTCAGCATCAGTTCTCAGCATAAACAGAGCACAAAGACAAACAGCGACATACAAAAATTGTCAATCATGTCATAGCAGTGACCTGATCTCATATGCTAATGTTTTAGAACTTCCAATTCAAGTGCCTCTTGGAGAAATGACCAGGAATAATAAATGGCAGAAAACGGTCACACTACTTGCTCTGCAAACAAGTGTGTTCATGACTATACATACAAACAAAAATAATAAAAATAGAAATTTTGACTTTGCAACATTAAGCAGCATTAGGCAAGGGCTAGTATAAGATTCTAATTCTAATAACCTTGAATAAAAATATCAGTTTCATGGAACTGTGATTACTGCTCTAAAATGAATATTTTTTTATGTCTGGGTAAAAAAACAAACAGTTTTCCCCTTTGAACACAATATTTTTTTTTTGAGAAAATTTGAAAATATTTTGGAGCAGTAAACATGTCAGGCTGAATAATTCTAATGAATCATTGGCTTTTGCTGTCTTCATTAGTTTCAGAAACACAGATTTCTTTATGATTTAAAACGGCATCTTTTGATATCTTTTCTGCTGGAGATACTGTTGTCCTGAAAAACTTAAAACATAAAAACCTTACATATACAGTAGTAATGATATAGCAGAATATTTTCTCAGCTTTATACCTTGAAAATTGTTATCGTCCCATGCCTTAGCAGCATAACACTGTTTTTAGGATCTAAAAATTAATTCTTTAAATAAAGTCTCAAGCAAAAAGATTCCAATGTCTGCTGGTACACAAAGAATATGGTCAAAATTCTAATAAACTTTACACTCAAATGTTTGCATATCATCAGCATGCTGTAATCCATTTCTTAAGCAGAAAAAGTCATTTTTAGACTAGTTTGTTGGCCAGTTGTAGTCAGTGCAATGCTAAACGTTATTGTTCTACTATAATTTGTTTATTTTGCCTCATGTTGTCCCAAAACATCATCAATATAGTTTACTGTACAATGTTTTATAATAATTAATTACTTTAGTGTCCATTTCATTCAGCATGTTTAAAATTGTGGGCATCCACGTTTTTGACATGCTTTAAACCAGGATTTCTGCAGGTTTCACCAAGTTAAATTTAGGACTTTTTAAGATCATTATGAATGAAAATTTATACTCATAAAGGGCTAAAAGCTAAGGAATTTTTCAAATGGCCCAGATGAAAATGGTTTTTATTTGCCCTTAAAGAATATTATGATTTTAATACATTTAATAATACAATAATAAATGAATAATATAAAATTACAATATTTTAGATATTTCTTAGCAAAAGATTTTAAATATTGTGTAAAAATAAGCCTTTACTTGTATCCATACACTTTTTCCCAACATAAACTTTGAAAAAATACAAAAAAAATTAACAAATGTTTTAAAAGTTTTTAAAACTATAATAAACTAAATCTATGCACAACAATCTGTCCAGGTCAATGTCCTCAGCAGTAAATACACGGATCACATTTAAACAAATGTTATTGTAAAAGAAATAATTAAACTATTATGATAAATAGAGTTAAAATGTCCTTTTTTAATTAAAAAGTTGAAAGTTTTATTGAGATGGATTGTTGGTGATTGTATGGGTTTTGGCCAGATTGGGTAGTAAATCATGAACAAAGGAAAATGAATTTTTGTTTTAAAAAGATTTAAGACCTACAACACAATATTTCAGAAAAATTTAAGACTTTTTAAGGCCTAAAATTTAGATTTTGGAATTTAAGACATTTTATGATTCGCGGAAACCCTGTTTAAATACAATAGCCCTGGTAATTATTTATTATAATAATGTGGTTCTAACTCTGATACTATAAGTAACAACCAGTAACAACTACTAGAAACAAGTTTAAACCCATAAAGAATTTGGTAAAAAAAAAAAAAAAAAAAAGGAATTTACAATAATACATAAAATAATGACAAAAGACATGAGAACAAGTAACAAGAAAGAAACTTATTCCTGTCTTTATATGAGTGCTTATGTGCATTTAGGAGAACTAGGCAGCACACTCAGGGCTGCAAGATGGATTTAATTTAGTATTCTTATTATTAAAATATATCTGAATGAGGATCAAATGACTGAGTTGGTGTTTGAGAATAAAAACGAACCTGTTTGTTCCTGCAGATCTTCCTGTTTGACTGTGAATGTTTCTTCAATCTTCAAATCTTCACTCTCCTCTTTAATAAACGCCATCTTTATAACAGTGTGGAGATCAGTCGCTTCAGCAGGAGTTTTCCTCTGTGTTTGGACACTTTATCCTGTTTAAAATAAAAAAAACATTGAACAGAAACAAAATAACTTCTCTTTAAAAGTGTCTTCATATGAATAATCAGCAAAAAGAAATCGGGTAAAACGTTTCTTTAAAACTTATTACACACTTTATTCAAACAATAGCTCTCAAATAATGAGAGATTATAGATTATAGAAATAGTACTACGTTGTATAAAAAGGTAAAGAATATTTCCAACAGCAGGGACATAATTTAATATCGTTTAAAAAACCTAAAACTTCAGAACTTTAACTTTAAATCGGTTTATATCTGTAAACCTTTTAAAACAAACCTTACTCCAGTTGAACCAGCGCTGATGCGGCGCCGCCTGATGACGTCACAGGCTACGCCAAAATAAAAGTCTTTTTTTAATCTAATAATCTAATTTCAATTTTGCATTTTATTTAAAATGTTTAACAAATGTTTATATTAATTTACTGATTCAATTTACTCTAACATTGCAGAAAACACATTATGTTTACCAATCACACTAACAATAACACTAACCTGCTTCTTTTTAAAGGATAAAAATTGAGTAAAAAGTGTACTTAAAAAGAGGCACCAGTTCCAGCTGCCACAAAAAGGCAATGAACACAAAATAAAATAGGTTGCTTATGTCAAAAAGACAGAGAATCAGGGATAACAGCAACAAACATTTTAAAAGAAGAAGGGATAGACCTTGTTGAACTCATGAAATGCACAGACATACGTTCAACATGTGTCTACCTCAAGGACCAGTCTTGCAGTTTTTTTTTTTTTTGCATCCAACGAAACAGATGGGAGTTGAATTAAAATAGATAGCTGGATTGACATTTTAAAAAATGATACAAAAAAAGTATAGAAATAAAAGGTAAAATGCAAATGCATAATTTAAATGGTGTAATGGTTGATTTTTATAATTGTCTATAATCTATTCACATACTTTTATTTATTTCTGTATTTATTAAGTTTTTGTATGTTTGTTGTTTTGTTTATCTTTTAGAACTCATACTGTATTGCTAACAGCAAGTGACAGAATTCCTTTCTTTCATTCCAATTACAGCAAATAACTCCTGCAGGAATTATAAAATCCTGCAGGATTTGTCACTTGCTTGGATCCACTGTGAAACCTGTAAGAAATTCCTGCACATATCGTCAATGTGTCCTACAGGATTTTATAATTCCTGCAGCACTGCAGCTGCCCTGCAGGGGGAAAAATAAATCCTTCAGGATTCCTGTAAAAAGTACTGCATGATTCTAAAACCTGTAGAGTTGCCTGCACATATTGACATTTTGTCCTGCAGGATTTCATAATTCCTACAGGATACCAGCAGGTTCCTGCAGAAAAAAATGAAGAAAACACAAGGAAAGAATAAACTCAATAAATGTATCCTTAAATTATGTAGGAACTGAAATACCTTAGGTAATTTAAGAAGGCAGTGAAAGCAGTCATTTTATATTCAGGGAAATCCACATTGAAGGACTGATGTTACTTTCTCCAATACAGCAGGTGGCGGTGTGCAGTTTTACTCTGCACTCTGACTCTACGCACAGCCAGTAGAAGAAGTGGTGCGTAGCGTCTAAACTTTCTGCTCCACATCCAGCGTTAATACTGCTTTAGGTAAAGTCACGCATGTAACCGTCTGCATGTCATTTGATTGAATGTAAACCCCACATGTACTTTTGGCCCCCGCATGTCCCTATCTACTCTTTTCAGAGTGTTTGCGACGGATGTTTTTACTGAACTCGTGTGACCGTAGACTGTAAAGTATAGGGTGTGACCATTGAGATGAAATCTGTGATCAGGAGTCATAGTTCAGTAAATCAAAGTTCTCCAATATATTTCATATGTTTTTCAGTATGAACATGTTTGCTGAATCTGGCATTTTACATGCTTTACAGCACTGCTCGACGTGGATCACTTAGCTGCGCGAGTGCGCGTTAACGATCGCGTGCATGAGCGACCTGGGCGTTCCCGAGAGAGTATTTCACAGAACAGCGCCCCCTGGTCACAGTTTTCGGCAAAACATCACCCTTCAGAAACGAAAGTGAAAGTGCTTGTCACAGTTTTAAACAGACATAATCCATCATTTACCAACTTGGAATAGCTTTATATCTTTAATGTCCAAAACAAAACCTGTAATGCTGAGTTCACGGCATAATTTTCAAAGTAGTCAAGTCACCGATGTTTTTACATAGAGGTAAAGTTAGTTTTATATTTGCATATTTGTTTATTTAGAAGTCTCTATATTGTTTACCATGTTACTTTGAATATTCGATCGGAATTAGCATGCAAGTATGACTTGAAAACAACATTACACTGATTATTTGACTGTGAACAATGTTGTACTTTGATGTCATTGGCTGCTAATATGATTTCGCTGTTTAGAGTTTCCAAATAATTATTTCATGAAATTATATTATTAAGGGCAAAGTCCGAATATGCAAATATAAAACCAACTTTACCTCTATTGTTTTCACACTGCATGACAGTCTGGGCTAGCGTTTTGTTGCTGCTTTGTTTACACTGCCCTATGGACAGGGGCTTTCACACTGTATCACAGACAACTTTGTTTAAACCAAAACAACCAAAAACACGTAGTATATATTTTGTTATTAACTACACAAGGAGTAAAAGCATAATACAATAGAAATCTACATATTTGTTCACCTGGATTTGAGGGGAATTAGCAATTTATCCTCAAATTTTTTTTGACCGGATTGTAACATTGCTTACATGACACGTCAAACAGACACAGGTGCTCCTGCCAAATTTACATTCGTTTTTCCTACATTTCTTGGGTCCAAATAAACTGAAAATGAGCGCATTTAACTTCTCTCTGATGTAATTTTCAGTTGAAAGTCATTTCACCTGGCATGACAGCTCCAGATATTCAGCATGCCAAATATCTCACAGGTGTCTGTGATTCATTAGCGATCCCACATAGCAAAATATATCTGGCCCAGCTCTGGCCCACACAATCAGCTTTTACTTGGCCCACATGCCGCAGTGAATTACGGTACATGACTGGACCAAGTCTGGCTTCCGGGCAAGGGCCAAACACGGACCATATCTGGGCCAGGTCTTGGCCAAGTTAGTAACCCATAACTGGGCCTGAACTGGGCCAGTTATGGCACATGAATGGTCATTGTCTGGAAGCCAGACTTGGTCCAGTCATGTACCGTAATTCACTGCAGCATGTGAGCCAAGCTAAAGGCTAATTGTGTGGGCCAGAGCTGGGCCAGAGAAATTTTGCTATGTGGGCCATAACTGGCCCTTAACCGGACCAGATCAAGATAATATTTGGAACCAAAACTGAGCCATAATTAAACCATGTTAAGACCAGTCTTTAATCAGAGAGCCCAAAAGTGAGCCACACCTAAGCCTAATCCACATGAACTTAACCTGCAGCCAAACTAAACCCTTCCCAGATCAAATCACAACAATGACTGTTCTGAACAATATTTATTATTTCACATTTAAGAAAACATGCCAAAACCAGAGAAATCATCATACTGTAAATCTTTAACATCAGAACACACTGCATTTTGCATTCTTTTAAGTTGCAAATCCCATATAAGCAAGTTCTTTAACCAGTTTTCTCCTGATTCTCCTTTGGCTTCTGTCTCTCTTTCCTGTCACCATCCCTATCCGGGGCCAGATATGGCCATCTTTTGATGGTTGAGTCAATGTTTTTTTCTGAGGCTTCAGATGTCAGGCGGTTTCGTCTCACAGCCGCTGAAACAGATATGTAAATGTTTGAAATTAGCTTTTTTATCAACAGTTAATGTGGATATTGGATTTTAAAAAACAATTACATTAAAACTCAACCAGAACATATTGACAGACATGCTTTTACAGCTATACAGACTTTTAATTGAAGCAAATAATTTTAGTAATATGGCTCCAGGAGGAATTCAGTCTAAGTTCCTTTTCACAAAGCTGTGTGCAATTTAATAATTAGATATATTTTGGCAGTGTTCTTTTAAAGCTCTGCTTTAGTAAAATGCTATAATTGGTTCAACACTCTTTGTTCACCAGCAAATAAGGACAGTAAGGCTGCATTTACACTGCAGATCTTGATTGTCAATTTTGATTTTTGTAACTGTCAGATTTTTTTGCTGAATTATTTACATCGTTTTTTTAAAGTGACTCATATCTGATTGTCTGCATTTACACAGCACACGGCAAAGATGCAATGACCATGAAAAAAAAAGAGCAGGCGGTGATTGACAGCTGATAATAAAAGAGCACCTTTTTCTCTATGCCTGTATTTAATGTGTTTATGGGGTTTCGTTTTTTTTATTCTTTTTGACAAGTTGTTGTTTTACTATAGTTTATGACAGAAAAGTTCTCATTTGTCCATCTTCTTATAACTTAGGCCTTTTTAAACCAGTAGGCGTCTTAATTAATCTTAATGTCCATGGCAAAATTTATGCAAGTGATGTATGCTCAAGGTTTGAGATTCTGCTAAGTCTGTTCCAAAATGAAAGCATCTAACCTGATGTCATTCGCTATTTTTTAATGACAAAAAATATAAACACTCCTTGGTGTTTATAATGTAAAACCGCGATGATATTTAAATATTGATTGGTGGCCACAAATTTAGTTCTCATGAAAATAATACAATTAATCGTGCAGCCCTCAGTCAAACTGTTATTCTGTTTTTTTTGTGTGTGTGTTTTTACTGTTATTGACAAGCACATTTTTTTTTAAAAAACATTATTAGAAACATTAACTCTTGTATTTGTTGCTATTAGTTTTTCCTACTATGCAAGTCAAATACATGTTTTCTGCTTTTTTCAAAACATTTTATTTGGTGTTTAATAGAAAAAAAAATAAAAATCAAAGATTTGGAACCATTTGAGGAGAGTAATTGTACACTAATTTTTGTGTGAACTATCCCTTTAAATCTATTTCTCTAACCTGTTCACTCTTTTTACTTAACGTTAATAGTTCAGGCATGAAACAAACTTATCTAAAATTGCCTATTTATTCACATGCACATAAAAGTAGAGAGCTTTCTTATCCACGTAAGCACATAATGTAAACAGCATAGTCAAATTTGATATATCTTAGCTTTAATTAAGCATATTTCCTCATAATTTAGGCTTAGTTTTTGTTCATAATACAATTATAATACATGAAAGATCTCCCTTTCCAATGCATGCATGCATGCGTGCGTGCGTGCTGGAGAGGGTGTGATTTTAGAATACATTTTGACTCATTCCAAGTGATCATTCTGTTTTTGCTTACATTTACATTTACATTTAGTCATTTAGCAGACGCTTTTATCCAAAGCGACTTACAAATGAGGACAAGGAAGCAATTTACACAACTAAGAGCAACAATGAATAAGTACTAAAGGCAAGTTTCAGGTCTGTAAAGTCTAAGAAGGGAAGTGTTAGTAGATTTTTTTTTTTTTTTTTTTTTTTGTACAATTAGTGTGATATTCAAAGAGGCAATTGCAGATTAGGAAGTGAAGTGGAGACTAAATAGTTGAGTTTTTAGTCGTTTCTTGAAAATAGCGAGTGACTCTGCTGTTCTGATGCAGTTAGGGAGTTCATTCCACCAACTGGGCAGATTGAGCGTGAGCGTTCGCGAAAGTGATTTTTTCCCTCTTTGGGATGGAACCACGAGGCGACGTTCATTCACAGAACGCAAGTTTCTGGAGGGCACATAGATCTGCAGAAGTGAGTGCAGATAAGAAGGTGCTAGGCCAGAAGTCACTTTGTAGGCAAACATCAGAGTTTTGAATTTGATGCGAGCAGCAACTGGCAGCCAGTGCAAACGGACTAGCAGCGGAGTGACATGTGCTCGTTTAGGTTCATTGAAGACAACCCGTGCTGCTGCATTCTGGAGCAGTTGAAGAGGCTTGATAGAGTTAGCTGGAAGCCCAGCTAGTAGAGAGTTGCAGTAATCCAGTTTGGAGAGAACAAGAGCTTGAACAAGGAGTTGAGCTGCATGTTCAGATAAGAAGGGTCGGATCTTTCTGATGTTATAGAGTGCAAATCTGCACGATCGAGCAGTTCTAGAAATGTGGTCAGAGAAGTTTAGTTGGTCATCAATCGTTACTCCAAGGCTTTTCACCATTTTGGATGCAGTAATGGTTGCCCCATCCATCTGGATTGAAAAGTTATGGTGTAGAGTCGGGTTGGCAGAAACTACAAGCATTTCCGTTTTTGCGAGGTTCAGCTGAAGATGATGATCTTTCATCCAGTGTGAAATATCCAACAGGCAGGCTGAGATGCGAGCTGGAACAGAGGGATCATCAGGATGAAAAGAGAGGTATAGCTGGGTGTCATCAGCATAGCAGTGGTAGGAGAATCCATGTCTCTGGATGACTGGTCCTAGAGATGATGTGTAGATGGAGAAGAGAAGTGGCCCAAGAACAGAGCCTTGAGGTACCCCAGTGTTTAGATGCTGTAGGTTGGACACCTCTCCCCTCCAAGACACCCTGAATGACCTGTCAGAGAGGTAAGATCTGAACCATTGTATAACAGTGCCCGCAACGCCCAGTGACTCAAGCGTAGATAGCAGGATCTGGTGGTTGACAAGAACCAGCTGAATGAAAAAAAAGCAGCTGACAAGTCCAGCAAAATGAGGACTGATGATTTAGAGTCTGCTTTAGCCAGTCTGAGATCCTCCACGACCGAGAGCAGGGCAGTCTCAGTTGAGTGGCCTTTCTTAAAGCCGGATTGCTTGTTGTCCATGAGATTGTTTTGAGTAAGAAAGTCCAGGACTTGATTGAACACTACTTTCTCCAGAATCTTGGCCATGAATGGAAGCAGGGATACTGGTCTGTAGTTTTCAAGTAGCGTATGGTCCAGGTTGGGTTTCTTTAGCAGTGGGGTTACCCTAGCCTGCTTAAATGTAGTGGGGAATAAACCAGAGTCAAGAGATGTGTTAATTATGTGAGTCAGTGTTGGTATGACTGCAGGAGAGATGGCTTGCAAGAGATGAGAGGGAATGGGATCGAGTGGACAGGTGGTTGCATGGCTAGATAGCACAAGTTTGGACACCTCAGACTCAGAGAGCTGAGAAAAAGAGGTGAGTGTGTGTGGTGTTGGTGTTGTATCTTGCGTGTTTGTTGCGAGAGATGAAATGCCCTTCATCTCTCGCTTTATTACGTAAACAGCAACTTTGCAAGGGCTATGGGTTAACATCACAGCACGAAAATGGTCCAACTTTTAATGAGGTAATCTCAGTAACGTTCGATAAGGATAAACAAAACGAATAAATATCCTTAAATTGTGTTATACCGTGTCTTCTGTTAATTTAAATATTATTTTGGAGTTTATTTAGCATGATGTGCCACTTACATGAGATAAATTAACTTTAGCTAACGTTAAAGAATATTTATCGAGCTTATATGGGTATAACTTACACTGACAACCACGCCAATGACATTTACATTTCCGACGATGAAACTGATAACTGATCTGAAACAATATATTAGAAATGCAATTATTACTTACCAAAATGCCTTTGCTCCAATTAGGTCCACGACCGTTGGTGAAGTGCGTACAAGTGGCCGCCCGCTGTCACCGTCCTCTTCAATAGATCCAAGAGTATTTTTCAAATTAGAAGTTTTGTTTCGTTGTTTTTTAATCGTGGTTAAAATTAACCAAGCTAGCTAAATCAGCAGACTGACGTTACACACCGTTCACCGGAAGAAAATATATTTGAAAACTGAACAGAAAACCGAGTGTCACGACCAATGGTTACGACTGCAATATCATATTGATAAACCCATAAGGCATTGCGCATTAGGCGCGCTACGGGCGTGCTTTTTCTCCAAGCAATCTGATTGGTAGATTTGGATTTTTGAATTTTTTCTGGTGTTTGTGCATGAGACAAGCAGCACAAAAACAATTGACTTAACATTTTAACACTCCCGTCTGTATATTATGGTATATCATCATTGGATAATAATAATATAATTAGAAAAATAATAATTTGAATAATAAAAAAAAAAATGTAATGTAGGGTAAATTTAGTTGCAACATATAAGAAAGAATAGATTAATTCAAATAATTCAATCTTGATTGTTTCCTAGATTAAAATGAAGGCCTTAGAAGATGCAAGTGGAAGATGGAATGACTGTGTATTGAAATATTTTTTACTCGAAAAAATATTTTTATGTATTTTAAATGTGGTTCCAGAAAGGCCAAACTTATGTGGGCCACAGATCAGTTTTGAACATCTGGGCCAAACACTACATTTGACATCTGGCCCATGTCTTGTCTGCCGCCTTCAAGACGGTGCCACCTCTGCCAAACCTGGGCCATGTTTGGCCCACATGCTGTATGCCAGTGCCGGATGAATGCCTGATGTGCCAGATTTGTGCCAAATCTGGGCCAGAATTCTTTGCTACCTGGGATTCTCTCAGATGGCGTCTTTGATAGTTCACATTGTGTGATTGTTATGCCGAGTTCAGACTGCATGATTTTCAAAGTAGTCATGTCACAGATGTTTTCACACTGCATGACTATCTGGGCTAGCGTTTCGTCGCTGCTTTGTTTACACTGCAAGATGGATCAGCGACAGGGGCTTTCACGTTGCAAGATTTTACTATTGGAAGAATCGCCGACAACTCCATCCAAACTACGTCTCACAGCCAAAAACATGTAGTATATCTTTTGTTATACATACATTTTGTTACTACATAATGAGAAAGAAGCCTTTAATGGGGTAGAACATGCACATGTTTGCTCACCTGGGTTTAAAGGGAATTAGCCATTTCTCCTCAACGTTGATAATAAACTAATTTCTTTCTGTATGAAACGTCAAACAGACACGGTTGCTCCTGAGTCCGGTCAAACCTCCATTAGTTTTTCCTCCATTTCGTGGGTCCAAATAAACCGAAAAAGAGCGCTTTTAACTTCTCCCCAGCCTCCCGCTGGCCTGCAGCAGGTATAAACACACACACACACACACACACACACACACACACAAGTGAATGCTGCTCTCTCATTGGCTGTAGGCGATCGCTGATGTTATTTTCAGTCAAAACTCAATTCACACGGCATGATTTGAATCGCCGACAGCTCCAGATATTTAGCATGTCAAATATCTCACAGGCATCGGTGACTCATCGATTCTCTTAGATCGCGTCTTTGAAAGTTCATACTGTGTGATTGTCACTCACGTGCACGAGCACTGATTTGCCAGTGATTTCAGGCATTTGTCGGCGATTTCTCAAAACCTGTCGGCTAGCCAAAATCGGGGCTAAAATCACGCAGTCTGAACTAGGCATTACTTGCGTGCATGAGCACTGATTTGCCTGTGATTTCAGGCATTTGTCTGCGATTTCTCCAAACCTGTCGGCGAGTCAGAATCGGGGCTAAAATCATACAGTCTGAACTTGGCATAAGGTTTATGTGAATCTGTATGTATAATTACATTTTAATACTAATCAAACGGATGATGGCTGTGATTATTTTGTTTGTTTACTCGTGATGTGTCTCAGCTGCTGATCTATTCCTGCATTTAGCTGAATTTTGAAGGCTGATCAATGACTGGAGATCTGTGATTGTTCATCAGTTTCCTCTAGAGTTTCTGCTGGAGATCAAACTTTTCAGATCCATCATGGAGGACACGCACACTTCTGGAGATCTGGATTTGTTTGCCTCATGGAGGTATTTCGTCTACACAATACATTTCATATGATTATTTTTTACAAGATATTATATTTACTCTCTATTAGTTGTGGATTTAATATATAAAATATATTTTATGTCAGAATATATATATATATATATATATATATATATATATATATATATATATATAAATATATATATATCACTTCTTACCTGGTGTTTTAAAGAATGGATTGTCTACGTGTTTGCAAAATGGAAGTCGTGCGACATCTTCCCTATCCACCTTACTCTGAGGAAATGAGTGAACTTGAAATCTCTCAATACTGTCAGGTAAGAGCTGGCCAGAAAGTATCAAACAAAAACAATCGAAAGAAAGATGTACAAATATCACAAAGTAGCTCAACATGGGCAAAAGTAATACAAAATAATTTTACCGAAACAAAAGTTAAGCAAAAACAACAAAAAACAAAATCATGTCAACAAAATCAAAGGAAAAGCGTTTTCCTCTGCTTTTCCTGGCATCCTTTTATATGACCACGCCTTGCGCCCAATGATGATCGACTGATCTCCTCACCAATCGGCTCTCGCAAAGGCAGACCTAAAGGAAATGACAGGCTGGGAGAAAGCGAGAGAGAGACAAAACAAAGAGAGAACAGAAGGCAGAAGGCAAAAATACTACAAATATATGGCAACCGTAACACTCACATTTGATCATTAGTGAAGTACTGAAGTAGTAGTAAGTAACTAAAGTATTGAAACTCAAAATGTAAAGAGTTAGTAAAGTGAATGGAAAAGGATACTTGTTTAAAATGAAACTGTTTAAATCTTCTCTGTTTATTATCTTAATAAAGTGGAGCAATGTTACAGTGTTGTTACTGAAATCCTGATCCTGAATTTAATAAATGACAAACACTGTTACACGTTTAAAGCATTTTGAGCATTAGACGTGATCAGTGTGTGGTGTGTAAAGTGCTTCACAATAGAGCTATGAGAGACATTTGAAGACTGGCCGGTTCTTGCTGATCTGGAACAGTTTCTGCATTACTATAGTTTGCTTCTGGATTAAATCTGTGTAATGTGTCTAAGCTGTTTCAGAGAAAACACACATGGCTTTACTAAAGGATCTTTACACTCATACTCATTCATTCTTTGTGTCGTTGTTGTTCCTGCAGTGTGGATGGAGATGATCAGACTGGAGACCTGCAGCAGGATTCACTCCAACCAGAACATGATGAACTGCAGAGAGTCAAAGAGCAGCACAAAACCAGCATGAAGAACAAGTATGAGAGATTATTTGAGGGAATCAACCATGGAGAGACTCAAAAATTCCTGAACAGGATCTACACACAGCTCTACATCATAGAAGGAGAGAGTGAAGGAGTGAATAGAGAGCATGACGTTTTACAGATAGAGAAAAGAGTCAGAACAAAACCCTCACAACACACTCCAGTCTACTGCAATGACATCTTTAAAGCCTCAGCTGGAGCAGGACATGAGGAGAAGATCAAGAAGGGGAAAGCCCAGATCAAGACTGTTCTCACTAAAGGCATCGCTGGAATCGGGAAAACCGTCTCTGTGCAGAAGTTCATTCTGGACTGGGCCGAGGGAAAAGACCATCAGGATGTAGATTTCATGTTTGTGCTTCCATTTCGAGAGCTGAACTTGATCAGAGATCATCAGTACAGTCTTCACAGCCTTCTGCTGGACTTTCATCCTGAACTTGAAGATCTGGAGCCCAAGATTTATGAGCAGTGTAGAGTTGTGTTCATCTTTGATGGTCTGGATGAAAGCAGAATCACACTCAACTTTTCAGATGAGGAGAAAGTTTGTGCTGTGACTAAATCTTCATCAGTGGCTGTGTTGATGCGGAGCCTCCTGAAAGGAGATCTGCTTCCCTCTGCTCTCATCTGGATCACCTCCAGACCAGCAGCAGCCCATCAGATCCCCTCCAGATACATCAAGCGTCTGACAGAGATTCAGGGATTCACTGAGCCTCAGAAGGAGGAATATTTCAGGAAGAGAATCAGCGACGAGCATCAAGCCAGCAGAATCATCTCCCACATCAGAAGAGCAAGAAGCCTCCAGATCATGTGCCACATACCCGTCTTCTGCTGGATCTCCTCCACTGTGCTTCAGAAGCTCCTGGAAGAAGATGTGAGTGCAGAAATCCCTCAAACTCTGACCGAGATGTACATCCACTTCCTGCTGATTCAGATCAACATGAGGAAGCAGAAGTATGAAGAGAGAGATCAAGAGAAACTCCTGCAGTCCAACAGAGGAGTGATCCTCAAACTTGCTGAAGTGGCTTTCAGACAGCTGATGAAGGGCAATGTGATGTTCTATGAGGAGGACCTGATTGAGAGCGGCATAGTAGTCACTGACGCCTCGGTGTATTCTGGGATCTGCACTGAGATCTTCAAGGAGGAATCTGTGATTCATCAGAGGAAAGTCTACAGCTTCATCCATCTCAGCTTTCAGGAGTTTCTGGCTGCTTTCTTTGTGTTTCACTGCTATTTAACAGATAAAAGAGAACCACTGATGTTGCTTTATGAGAGTAAATATTCAGATGATGAAGATGTGTCAGATGGTTATGAAGATGAAGATGAAGATTCAGATGTTCAATTTTTACAGTCCAGCTCTGAGTTCTCTCTGTGCCATCTGCTCAGTTTAGCAATATATAAAGCTGTCAGCAGTAGTAATGGTCATCTGGATCTGTTCCTGTGGTTCCTGCTGGGCGTCTCACTGGAGTCCAATCAGAGACTCTTCCAGGATCTGCTGACACACACAGAGGAGAGCTCAGAGAGCATCAGGACAATCACACAGCACATTAAAGACAAGATCAAGAGAGATGTCTGTCTCTCAGCTGAAAGATCCATCAATCTGTTCCTCTGTCTGCTGGAGGTGAAAGATCAGACTCTGGCCAGAGAGATTCAGGAGTTTTTGAAATCAGACAAACACTCAGAGGAGGAACTCTCTCCTGCTCACTGCTCAACAATCTCCTACATGATTGAGATGTCAGAGGAGCCGCTGGATGAGTTAGACTTTAATAAATTGAACACATCAGATGAGGGAAGATGGAGACTGATACCAGCTGTGAGAAACTGCAGAAGAGCTCTGTGAGTATTCATTGATTGATCAATGTATACTTATTAGTTTATTTCCAGTGTGGATTTTATCACTGTAGACTGGACTCATGAACACTCAACACTGCTCATTTCTTACTGCTGATTTTGTTGTTCTTTGTCCTCTACACAGGCTACAGTGGAGTTATCTCGATGTTCAGCATTGTGAGAGTTTGTTTTCAGCTCTACAATCCTCAAACTGTGTGCTGAGAGAGCTGGACCTGAGTAACATTGACCTGCAGGATTCAGTGAAGCTTCTCTCTGATAGGCTGAAGAGTCCAAACTGTAAACTGGAGACACTGAGGTAAAATAGAAGAAAGTTTACCTAAAATAAATGCTGCCACAAATGACTTTTACATTGTGCAAAAAAAAAAAAAAATTGATAAAGTAACGAGCATATGCTGTAATGCATTTTATTTTTCGTTTATTTAGTGTGAATATTTCATGTTTCAGATGTAAAGTCAAGTATGAGAAAACTTTTTATACTAGTTATGATATTGCTCTTAAGTGTAATTTCTGCTGAAATTATCATTGATTCATGTTCGACTTGTGAATTTGTATGTGTTGTATTAGTGTTGTGTGTGTGGAAATTGAGTCGGTTCTGGTTAGAGTGGAATGATCTCACTGATGTTGTTTTCTTCATTCCATCTATTTTGACCTTCTCTATGCTGATAATGATCAGGTGACAGTCATCTGTGTCCCTGATAAAACTGTCATTGCCTTCTGATTAGAGTAGTCCACTAGTGTAGTGGTGTTTACTATAAAGCTGGTTAGTTGCTCTCCTGTATTCTTCTTTAAATCTAGTGATTCTTTTATTATTCTTATTTTTGCTTTTTTTGTTATATATTGTGAAGTCTGAAAATAGCAAATGCTAATGATGATTATGATTCTCACAGGAATACACTAAACAAGAATGAGTTCAGCCAGCTGGAGGTGTTACAGTGGAGAAGGGTGATGGGCGAAAGGCAGGTTAATGAAACCATGACAGGGTACTGGATAAGGCAGGTGGACAGGGAGGAGGGCAAAGCCAAGGCAGGGACTACTGGACAGTAAACCTGAGCAGATCCTGTGGATAAGGATAAACAGCTGGTGGACAGAGCTTTAGTGGAGCTGGTAAAACCCTCCATGATGATTTAGATGTTGCAGAAGCCCACTTTTTGTTGAGGTTTTTGGCCATAGATCCTCAATAGCTGGAGGCCCTGATGTGGCCACCATAATAGCTGGGGTCATGGCATCCATCTTGTGTAACCCACTTTTTAACTTACACGCTTTGAGCAGAGAGTTCCCTCTATCAAAATCACTGATATCATGTCTTTATTTGGACTCAGAAAGTGAAAGCCAGAGCCCTGTGTTCAGTGTTTCCAGTGCTCCTATGTGTGTTGTTATGACCATTAAAGACATTCAGAGAAGTAATTACTCCTAATAGGCACTTCAATAATTACATGCACACTTACACAAAATAAAACAATCTTCTTTTTGTCCTCTACACAGGCTAAAGTGCTGTAATCTCACCGCTCAGTCTTGTGAGAGTTTGTCTTCAGCTCTACAATCCTCAAACTGTGTGCTGAGAGAGCTGGACCTAAGTAACAATGACCTGCAGGATTCAGGAGTGAAGCTTCTCTCTGATGGACTGAAGACTGTGAACTGTAAACTGGAGACACTGAGGTCTGAGTTCAAATACTTGATTGATTGATTGTAATTATTTATTACATTAAACAAATTACTAAAAAATTTAAGTGTAATTTTTATTATTATTATTATTATTTTCAGACTGGTGATGTGTAAACTCACTGTTCAGAATTGTGAGAGTTTGTCTTCAGCTCTACAATCCTCAAACTGTGTGCTGAGAGAGCTGGAGCTGAGTAACAATGACCTGCAGGATTCAGGAGTGAAGCTTCTCTCTGATGGACTGAAGAGTCAACACTGTAAACTGGACACACTGAGGTAGATGATTCTCCACTCAACAACATTAAAAGTGTTTTGATTTAGATGGAAATGTCCAGATATATTTAAGAGCATTAGTGGATAAACTGCAAAATGCTGCTTCTCAAATTAAAGTTTTTCTAATACAGTTCAAGAAATCAGTTTATGTTAAAGATAATTTTAATTAATTACATCTGAAATCTTTATTTATATTTTATTTAAACAAATTTACAGTTTATCTTTGGATTGGTTTATTGGAAAGATATATTCAGTATTTTGTCAGATGTTTTGGTCATTCTGACCAAAAAACAGAAACAACACAAGCAGAACAGAATGTGGATAATGTCTGAGGAGGTGTCTGGACCCTGCAGCAGGTTTGACAGGCTCTGATCATTTGCATTTTGCATGTTCATAAATATAAAAAGTCTCATGGTCCTCGTGTCTAAGCTGACATTTAGCAGTTTTCTTAACATTTCAAAATATTCAAGAATATATTAGTTGGCATTTAATATTCAGTTTTATTAAATAACAATATCAATATTTCTAAATAGCACAAAATCAAATAGTTTTGTCATATTATTAACCTCATAGTTAGTTTTTTACATCAGATGAATTACTAAAATCACACTGTTAATGTAATCTGTGTTCTTCTTTCTTAGATTGGTCATGTGTAATCTCACTGTTCAGCATTGTGAGAGTTTGTCTTCAGCTCTACAATCCTCAAACTGTGTGCTGAGAGAGCTGGACCTGAGTAACAATGACCTGCAGGATTCAGGAGTGAAGAAGCTCTCTGATGGACTGAAGAGTCCAAACTGTAAACTGGAGACACTGAGGTAAATTATATTACACTAAACAGATACAGTTTCATATTGGGTTACCGAATATGGAGCCCCGTTCACACTTACAGGGATGTGATTTCAATTGTAACTATACTAATGTAGGTTTATAAAAATACATTTAAAAGCATTACTGAGTAAACCGCAATGTTGCACTTTTCAGAGCTTCTCTTTTTCCAATATGCCCAAATATGACTTAAAGTTAAAGGAATCAGTTTATTTTGAGGATTATTTATTCATATTTTATATTATTATATTTATATTTTTGTGCCCTGGTAAAGTTTAGACATGCTCTGCTTTTTGTTCAGTTTGCAGTTTCTTGTAAAAACACATACACACACACACACACAC